GATGCCAAGCACCAAACAAAAGTAGCTTAGCTTCTCCAAGATTTGATATCTTAACTGTAGCCACTTGAGTAAAGATTTAGTTCCCAGCATGGCCAAGTTAAATAAGGCAAATTAGGGCTAAATTGATCTGCACATCTAGTGTTCATGAAAATGCATGGAGACATTTTGAATCAAAGAAAATAAATTAAAAATGTGTAATACTGGTTCATGTCCAGTGAATCTGTGTGCTTTGGAGAAGAAACATGTGGATCATTGTTGCTATGAAAACCATCTTACAAAGCAGGTTGAGTTTGGAGCTGCTTGTCGAAGTGAACCAAGAAAACTCTGGAATTCTAGAAGACATTCCCATAGGATCTACTTGGAGTTCTTGCCTCTAAATGAGGTTGAGGAAGGAAGTAGTCTCTTATAGATAGGTCTGAGAGCCATCGTGAAATCAGAGTTATTTTTAAGTAGTGAAACACAGGAGATCCACTAGCTTTTCTATCATCAGAATCTCATCTCGGGCACAAAGATACAGAACCGCAGAGAATGGGCATGTGTTATAGATCTGACAGGTTGGGAGAATTTCTGGCCTCAGTAGAAGAAATATATCTACTAAGGTCTGATTAGTGAAACAGAGTTGTACTGGGGGGAGGGGATTGGTTTTGTAGCAACTACAATTAGCTGGGTATGCTAAATGCCTTTTGGCAACAGCTAACAATGGTCCCCCTTATCTGAGAACATCTCTAAGCTACAGTAGAACCTCCCATTGCACATCTCCATTGGGCATCGTGCACACACACCAAAATATGAATAGTGCCCCCTGGAGTTGTGCACTGCAGAATCCCTGCTAATGGCCCAGTCTAGAACATATGACTGCATATGCTACATATTCTGGAGAATATGGGGCTGCATATTCTTCAGAAAGAAAAGAATATAAGCAATAAGCAGAAAAAAGCAGCAGCAAACAAAAGAGTCCTTAATGAGGCTCCTGGCAATTTTTCTCTTCCTGGATACAGACCTCTTTGGAGGTCCAGCTCATTTCTGTTCTTGGGCTCCATGAGACATCCTATTCGTAAAACAAAATATGCAATTCAAAACTCACTTGAGGGGCTGGGGCTGTGGCTCAGCAGTAGTGCACTCGCCTGGCATGTTTGAGGCACTGGGTTCTATTCTCAGCACCACATATAAATAAATAAAATAAAGATCGATCAACCAATTTAAAAAAAATTCACTTGAGTGGGGCACGGTGGTGTATGCTTGTAATCCCAGCAGCTCTGGAGGCTGGGGCAAGAGGATCATGAGTTCAAAGCCAGCCTCAGCTAAAGCGAGCTGCTAAGCAACTCAGTGAGACCCTGTCTCTAAATAAAACACCAAAAGGGCTGAGGATGTGGCTCAGTGGTTGAATGCTCTTGAATTTAATCCCTGGTACCCCACTTAAAAACTCACTTGAATCAGTGAACAAACAACTTTGGAGACCTAACAAAGATAAATAAAATAGTTGCCTATGGTAAAGTTGGCCTCTGTTTCTCTGAGTGTGTCCACATTTTAAATTCATGCAAGTTTCAAGGGGATCTATATGTAAACCAAGCAGGCTTTATATTATCAATTTATTTTTAAGGGCCTCTAAGAGCAAAGTGATGGCGTAATTCAGTCCCATGGTTCACATTTCTTTTTGTGGTAAAGTTCTTTAAATTCAACCTGTGTGCTACTCTCTGCAGTCTCTGCTTCTTCTATGCTGGTTCTCATCTAAGTGGATTTGGAAAAAAAAAAAAATGCTCACCAACCACTCTGAAGAATAATTTCAAGTGCTAGACATAGAAAGAAGCAGAAATTTCAAACTTACTTGGTGCAGCCCTCTAATTTGATGAATGAGGAGTCTGAAGACCGCAGAGGCTTATGTGATTTGCCCCCAGGGCCACATGTCTAATTGTGGCAGATCAGGGAATACAGCCCAGATTACAAACTACCCCAAAGCCAATTTTCATCCTAGAGAAATGTTACAGGCAAAGCCACTTGTTTTTCTGGTCGTTAATTTTAACTTCCTGGTTATATGATCTGGACAGTCTCTAACTCTGAGACACTTTAACAGGTAAACTCTTGGCAAATAATTAAATGGCTTTTCTGTTTAATTACTGACTCCACTGTATACCAGATTGTTGTTAAGATAATCTTGATAATTGTTGTACATGTCAGAATAAAGGGACTCTTCTGAATTTTGAGTTTGTAGATCTCATTAAAGGAGTGGGTAATCAAGATGCTGGTTAAATTTCAGAAGAGGAATGCCACATGAAGTTAAAATTATTCTTAACTAAAAAGGAAGAAAGAAAGAACATATATACTTATTATGTTTTAATGGTATGCTCGAGTCATGGACCAAGTTAATGTAGGAATGAAGGATAGGTGGATATGGTTCTTATTATTACCATTTAATATAAGATTCAGATATGGTTCAGAAGCACACATTCGAGGTGAGTGATCTAATCCTACTAAGTCTATAGTGCTTTTCTAACATTGCATTATTCAAAGAAAATAACAAATCCTGAACAGCCAAATGCATTATTCTTCTTTTAAAGAATTAGATTAGGTCATTTGGACCCAATTTGATTGCTTTCAAATCAATATGAGTTATTCTATTTAAGACCCTTTTATCAGAGAAAAATATTAATGATATTTAGAGTACCAGGGGTCAGTGGGAAATATAGAAAAGAAACAGGATTGTTAGTGGTGGTGAGGTATATGTGCATGCTTAGCTGGATGTTACATGGATGGTGCCCTTCTGTAAGAGATGGGCACATCAGCTGACTCCATCATGGCTCCAATTCAGTGGCAAGAATGGAATTTGTAAATAATAGCCAGCATAGTGGAAGAGAAGAAAAGAAATGATATGATTCTAGAACACTTATCCTGAAAACAAAACAACAGAAAGGTATTATCTCCAAATCACAGTTAGAATACTATATGTGGCAGAATCATCTCATGTACTCCATATACCAGGACTGTATGTATTATACACTCTGCATTGTCGTCTTTCACTGGATCCTTGTCAACGGATAATGGGAAATAAGCACAAGTCAAGGTGACTTGAAGCTTTCCTTTGAGTAGCTTTTCTCTATAAGAAACTCCTGACAAGGAAATCCTCAGTGACACCATAGCAGGGCTCACTGTCCACTGTCCAGTGAGAGCAGCCTCAAATGTGCTGCTGAATTCAGCCTTCCTCCCTCTTCAAGGTGGTGGTACTATGCAATGGGTTGGCTCTTCCGCCTGCTTCAGCCAACCTGTGCTACTTGCACCTCAGAGAATAAGTGATGCTTTCTTACTGCTCTTGCTTCTATCTGCCCTTCTTTTTTGCCTTCACCACCAAACCTCCCACCATACACACACGTGCACACACAAGTGCACATGGATCACTTATCCTCCCGGTCTCAGCTCAGTCATTACCATTTCTCAGAAAGCTCTTCAGAATCTTTAAGTCTGGGTGTGGAAGCCCTCTTAGATTTGCTTGCACTAGTCTCAGGGTATCAGTCAGCTCATGCTATTCAAATATATAGCCATGAAATTCCAGTGAAATAAAACAACAAGCATTAACTTCTCACTCTGTCCATCCGCATGTTGATTGGAACTGCCCTTGCTCCACTCATGGTGATGCTTAAGTTCAAGGACTGATACCCAACCTGTCAAACCCATTTCAAACCTCTGCTTGTATCTCATTGTTCAAGACAGACTACATGGCCAATTCTAGAACCAAGAGAGCGGAAGTACATTCTATCACTACAAGGCCATAGGGAGAATAGCTGTCTATTATTGCAGAAGTGAGGAGTTGAGATCAATAATTCAGCTCCCCACCTATATTAGCAGCACCTATTATAATGTATTGTCATTGTCTGTAGAAAGTTTCCCTCTAGACAGTTACCTTCTTTTTAATTTTTTAAAATTCTAATTTATTTGTTAACTGATGTATAACTGATACCTTCTTAAAATCTGGGGTTTTGTTTTTTCATCTTTGCTTTTTAATATAATTTATAATATGCACTTGAAAACATTTGAATGGAATGAGTAACTGAATGAATGAATGAATGAATGAATTGAAGACAGGAGTACCATACAAGGGTCTGTCTCCCATCTTTCATAATGCCTTTCCTATGTGTCCACTGAATAGTCTAACAATGGTTACCAAAATGAGAGCACAAAAACCCAATATTGAGAAGACCTGATTCTACTAGGGTGAAGAATGAGGAAGACTTGCATTTGTAAGTCACTTGACCTACTTTGGCCCATGTCCTGGATTGCCAGTGACAGCCTCTCCGGAAAGAGGTATTATGTCTAACCTGGTTGGGTCACAAGATTCTGCAATGCCCCTGGCTAAAGTGGTGGGGCTCTAGAATACAGTTTTTTTTTTTTTTAAATATTTCAGAATCCTATCTGCTGCTCAGTAATTTGATTTACAGAAAACAGGAAATGGAACACATTTCTAAGCAAATACTTCTCTGATTACTTGCACATGCAAATTCATGAACTAAGTTTAGAAATGTAATTAAGCATCTAGTTATTTTTGAGCCCGCACTCACAGGCCAAATCAGATGCCCAGAGGAGGCACATGGTTGACTTATTTTTGTGTGTTTGATTGCATTTTCAGCTCTAGGCTCTCACCTGAATCACAGATTTCAATGACCCAATTGGGGTCCTAAAGAACAAGGTGAGTCAAGGGCATACCTAGTTTTGTAACTTTAAAGAATTCATATGGTCAGAATCCTGCTTCTCTGAGAAAAGAAATGCATGATGAGGATCGCTTCTTAGTAAATGGAAAATAAAGGCAAAGGAAGCATCATTTTCAGCAGCCGTTACTCCTGTAATGAATGATTTACAGTCTGCTGGCCAAAGCCAACACTGATTTCCCATGTTGCAATTAGTTTTTTTTTTTTTAATGTATGTTCATGATCCATATAAAAACTTGAATGTCATGCAATTTTGTGCCAAATGACATGCTCAAGTGCCAATTTTACACATGCAAAACAGATGAGTGGTTTGGAAAGTTCGTATTTATTGTCACTTTGCAAGCAACTTGCAACACCCCCTCACCTCCTTATTACAGTGGCCGATTATTCAAAGAACTTTTTGCTTCTCCTAAAAGCATCATTTGCTTGAGAGTTTCTTCACAGAACACCCACTTAACAACACTGACATCTTAAGCGGGGATTGGTGACTGTGAGCTTGTAAATGAGAACTGTGATGTAGCCCAGACCCTTCTGTGGGTACTGATGGTCTAATTAGCCAGGGTTTCTTATACCAACGTTATGGGAAAAGGCCTCTCAGGCTAAGCCAAGGAACTCAGAGAATGTCTATGTTACCTGTTCTTTTCCTCTCTACTCTACCTCTCCCATTTGTTTCTCTATCCTAAGTTTCCCATGGCAGATGATTTCAGAGTCTGTTCTGTGCTAATGGGGAAAATTGGGCCTCTATTCTTAGGGGATTGTAGATCCCATGATGTATGTTTGGGCTACCTTTAATTAGTCCCATTCCATGAGAACATATGTCAGGCCAGGTACTATGCTCACAAACTAATATATTTGCACCTCAGGAACAACTATAACAGACTACAAGCTAGACATTATCATCTCCATTTTGCAGATGAGGTGAAACAGCTTTTCTTAGTCCCAAGCAAACAGGAGAGGTGGTATTCAAATTCATGCCAATCTGACTGCAAATGCCAGGATCTCAATCTGGGATCTTTAAGATTCATATAAGACTCTTCTATTGCTGTGGATATAAGGCCCCAGCCCACTTTTGAATAAAAAAAAAATCTTGTTAATATTGATTTTCTTATAAGACATTTAATTTCTTCACTGTGAATATCACTGCATCTGAAAAAAAAAGCAATTAAGTCAATTTGGCTGAGACATTATTTGCTGAATCCTCACTTTTCCCCGAATATCAAAACTAAAATTGTGAATCCTTCCTTGCTTCTACTGCCACACCAGGTAAAAAGAGTACAAACATGTTGAAATCTTACATTCTGCTATCCATTGTATTTTAATAGACAACAGTGAGTAATATGAGAGCCTCAGGTTGTAATCATTGTATTTGTAAAGCACATATAGCTCAAAAACATCAAGAGGTGTGCTAAGCCTTTGGTGAGTTATTCCTAGTGCATTGGAAGTGACACTGTGATCAGAAAAAACATAAAATCCACAACTTTTCAAACATGATATTATTTTAGACAAGAAAGCTGCATGCTCAGTTTGCAGTGGATACATCATTCCATCCATCATGGCCGCATGTCTACCATAAGGATTCCTGGAGTTCCCAAAGTAGGGGATCAGTGGATAGTAGATCCTGGCCATATATCCCACCAATATGCTAGGAGGATTTACTAAGATGGGAATGATGGTGACTGCTCTTCCAAAAGCTTTTGGAGTCACTGAAACTCTACCTGTGTGTTGGTAACCTACGCATATCAAATGAAAACTACAGGCCAGTCTCTTTTTACTGGGTAAAAGTTGCAGAAGCCAGAGTTTACATCTGGTTTTCCTTATTTGAGTAGCCCTCGAATAAATTGACATAGCATAAATATCTATTGAATGAAAAATATATTATGAAAATTCTGTGTTTTTCACCTGATGTAAAGAGGTGAATCATAAAAAGTATCACAATTCACTGATAGAATACTCACTGTCTTGGTTTGAGTGTTTTTGTGTTCCCTCCCAAATTCATATTGAAACTTCATCCCACTAGTATTAACAGTTGGGGTTTTTAAGAGATCATAAAGGCTCTGCCTTCAGGCATTAATTCCCTTATAAAAAGTCTTGAGAAAATAACGAGACTGTTTTTTATCTTCTATTCTTCTGCCATGTGAGGACCCAGCACTCATCTCCTCCAGAGAACACAGCATTCAAGGTTTTATCTTGGAAGCAGAGACCAAGGTCTTACCAGACACAGAAGCTGCTGGCACCTTCATCTTGGACTTCCCAGCCTGTGAGCAATAAATTTATTCTGAACAATAAATTTTATCCCAAGATGTTTTGTTACAGCAACACAAATGGCCTAAGACACTCACCAACTAGTACCTGTCCTGATCTGTTTTCTTTGTGCTAACAACAACAAAGTAGGAGAATTAATACCAAAGAATTCATTAAACTGAAAATATTCCAGTTAAACAAGTATCCCAAGGACACAGACTCAGACAGGTTAATCTGATTGCCCACTGTGCAGCAGTGGCCCAGGTTTGCCATCTTTAGGAAACACTGTTGTGCTAGGGAGTTGTTGGGAGCAGAGGGGCAAGAGTTCCATCCCTGTGTGATTTTTGTCAAGAAAGAGGCTCAATCCAATCAGCATTATTCCCATGACCTTCCTCAACTTCAGCTGAAAGGAACTTTATTATTAAAGGTGTGAGTCAATATTTAACATCATGTTATCCCTTTCCTGATCTCAGAACCAATTCAGAAATAGATATGGGATTCAGATTAGAAATACCAAAATACCAGTGTTCCCAGTGATAATTCTGTTTGGAGAATGTGATCTTGGAACAAAATGTGAACTTGGGAAGTGCATCAATCCCCCTGAATTAGGAAGACATGCTCACTGGGTCACAGGCCACCCTGGACAACTGCCACTCCATACTAGGGCCAGAGATGGCCTGCTCTGTTACCTCTACGGCCAAGAGACAAACAGAATGTATACTCTGCAGAAACAGCAGTGTCCCATGTGTCCCAATTCTTCTGTGCCCCAGATACCAGGAAGAGCCAGATTGTTCCTGTACTAGGAACTTCCCAGCATGGAAACACAAAGTGTAGGTGACATAAGCATTCTTTTCTTTTGGAAACTATCTCTTTACAGGTGCCTTAGAATTATAGAACTGACTGACAGTTGCTCAAATAACATTACATTATTCCTGCAAAGCATTGTAAAACTGTTTAATTTATAATCTATTTCAATGAATATTTCTTGAATGCCTGCAAAGGTCAAGGTGCTATAGCCTTTCTGGGGTAGCCGATAAAGTTACATCCATCAGACGATCCTCTAGCAAACATGAGAGTCACATGCAGCATCCCAGGAAGGGAGCCTTCTACTTTCCTGGCTGGTGGGTCACTGTCAGGTATGAGAGAGGAATGGATTAGCATGAAAGAAAGTAGGGGAAAAAAATCACATATGGGTTCCTACACATTACTCTCTCTCTGAACTAATCATCAGTCGTGGACAAAGAGGGCAGTGGAGAAAAAGAGGCAGAAAAGCTAGAGAGAAAGAGAGAAAAATAAATAGACCAGAAAGGAAACTACCTGTAATCTATAATTCCTGGGGGATCACAGTTCTGTTTCTCAGTTACAAGCACCCAGAGACATGAAGGTCAACACTTATATTGAGGCTACTGTGGTTTATCTTTTTCTTTTTAACCATTACCCTTCTACAAGAGATCACCAATTCTGGGGAGGATTATTGGCTCTTCTGGGTTTTAATACTTGTCTCTTTTTGCAGACTTTGGTTCTTGGTTTGAAGGACAAAAGGCAAAGTGATCAGTGCCTTCCCTGTTAGGGGGTATAGAGGACTGTACTCACCATTACATTGCCACCTCGGCAGCTTGGTGTCTGTGTGTCATCTGTGAGCCACTCTTACCTGGAAGAAGGTCCTTCAACCTGAGGGGAGAGGGACTTATCCACGGCTCTAGAGTGACACACTCCTCTGCTGAGGACTTCTCTGTGGCATCTGTGGTTGTGGAATGGGTCACGATCCTCTCTGATGGAGGCAACTCTATTACTGAAGCATCTACTACCATAGAGGAAGTCGCACTTCTTTGTAACAGGAAATGAAGGAGCGTGCAAGAAGCACCACACCCTGACAGGAGAAGCCCTGGTACAGCGGTTTCTTGTAAGCCATCAACTGCTCCTGTAAGCTGTCAACTGCTCCTTTGTCTTCTGGACAAAGCACTATTTCCTGCAAGAGTCACATCCCAGCACCCCAAGGCCAAATACCTGTAAGGATCCTGCAATAGAAAGGAATAATAGAAATGCCTCAACCTCTTCCTGGTGTTCATTCAACTGTGGAAGAGAATATATGTCTTATTTGGTTAAAGCTAAGCATGATTTTTCTAAAGCAAACTATAAATCATGAGTGCACTCCTCATATAGACTTCCAATTTCCCATTGCTAAGAATCAGTGAGATAAAAAGAATTATCTCTATTTTGGCCTCTTCTTTGGATACCCAAGTCCCACTGTTCCTTTTCCAAATCCCAGATTTCTTTTCTCATATCAAATTTATCCCTGTGCATCAAGGCTTTTGTTAAAATTGGTAAAACATGCTAATCTCACCTTGTGAGCTGGAAGTTTGAGCTTGGTCAAGTTCAGAGTATGCTCAGTCACACTGGTGAGGACTGTTGCCCATGTGTCCTTCAAAACGCTTCTCTGAGTTAGGGGGTACAGAGGATTGGTTTCCCAGTGGGTATATATGGTCTATCCTATAGCTTTCCCTCTTCCTCTGACTGAGCACCCCACACTCCAGCATGCTGCTCTGTGCTCAGCTCTGATTCCATGAGAAGCATATCTTTTTGATGATGACGAAACTGAGGAAGGCTTCCCCACAGTACAGAAACAAGAACAGCAGTGCACTGCCCCGGTCACATGAGCAGAAATTCCTCCTGGCCATAGATGCATAGGGGGTTTCTGATAACTGTTTTGTCTTCTGAACTATGGGCTATAAGAACTTGGAGCAAAAATATGAAGAAAACATGGAGCTGAAGCATTTCAGTAGATTGAGAAAACCCATCACAATGTAAGACCAATGGTGGGTCAGAAACATCAGAAAAACTTAGGAAGCTACTGAGGAAGACTGCAGCACATGGACAGTGTGACCTGGTTACTCCAGCAGAGTGAGATGCATTTCCAGTGTCCTCCCATTTCAGAAGTGGGTCAGGCATTGGGATTCTTGAAAGATGACAAGATTGCATGTATAGAAAAATCTGTGGGTGCACAACTATGAGAACTAATTAGTGAATTTACCAAGGTCAGCATGCAAAAAAAAAAAATCAATTCTATTCCTATATTACAGCAATAGACAATTAGAAAACAAAATTTTAAAATACCATTTGCAATAGTATCAAAAATGTCAAATACTTAGGAAAAGTCTTTAAGAGATATAATAAAAAGCTATAAAATATAATAAAAAGCTATAAAACATTACTGTGAGAAACTAAGGCAGATAAAATGGGAAGACATACCATGCTCATGAATTAAGAGTCAGTGTCCATTCTCCCCAGGCTTATTTGCAGACTTGATAAAATCTTTATCAAAATTCCAGCAGCTTTTTAAAAGAGAAATTTACAAACTAATACTAAAATTGATTTGGAAAAACAATCTTGAAAAAGAATCAAGTTAGAAAACTTAAAATACCACTGATCTAACAAGAACAACTTAAAGAAAGAAAAGTTTATTTTGACTCATGGTTTCAGAGGTGCAGTCTATGGGTTGGCTGACTCCATAGCTCTAGGCCCAAGATGAGGTAGAATATCATGGAGGAGGAGTGTGGTGGAGAAAAGTGGCTCAGGACATCACTAGAAAGCAGAGAAAGAGATTAAGCTCAGCTCATCAAGTGTATACCCCAAAGGCACACCCACAATGATCCACCTCCTCCAGCCACACCTTACCAGTCTACAGTTACCACTTGGTTAAACCCTATTAGGGAATTAATTCACTGATTGGGTTAAGACTTTCATAATGCAATCATTTTACCTCTAAACCTTCTTTCATTGTCTCACACATGAGTTTTTGGGGTACACCTAATATCTGAACTATAACAATGACAATACCAAAAGTTGAAGGGTATGTGAAGAAACTATACCCTTAAACATTGCTGGTAGAAATGGAAATGGTATAGCCACTTAAGAAAATAGTTTGCCAGACTTTTAATCATTATGTCTCTATCTTTCAACCCAGCAATTTCAATATTTCCAAAAATAAGTGAAGGTATAATAATTTAACTGTGTAAAGGCTTTCTAGTGGACTTATGCAAATTATATATCAATTTTAAAAAAAAACAAATACATATGGTGAATAGAGCACTACATAAGCTAAAGTTCATTTATTCAACAAACACTTATCAATAACTTTTTATGTACCAAGCACCCTGCTAATCTCTGGGAATACTAAGCTCTACCAGACCTGATTCTAGCACTGAAGAACACACTGATTCTTGGGTGGGGGGACGCACAAAGGATTCCAACATGTTGGAACAAGTGCTTTAATCCAGCTACAGAGCAGAGAGTGAGTACAATGTTCCAGAATGAGATAATGGTCCCTTGTGTGACCATTGCTTGGGGAGAGGGTAGAAATTTTTTGTTTTTTCTGTTTGGGACAAAGGGTGACATTCTAGCAGGTATGAGGGGTTGAAGTAACAGTTCCCCATAACTTTAGGACAAAGTATTTTTTCACAGAGGGAGACTAGGGAGATCTTTTAATCTCAAGAATAAGCATTAAAAGGTCAAATTCTTGATGAGCAATAGGGTTAGAGGGAAGCAGCGCTCTCAAGTCAAGGTCCCTACGCCATGCTGCAGAGTTGCCCACAGAACACCCCAGAGGATGTGGCTTGCAGGTCACACCCCTTGGGTCCATGACAACCCTGACAAAGAATGTAGGGCCCCAACAACAACAGAAACTGTTCTGTTTAAAGCCATTTAAGAGCCTTCTGGGGAAAACACCACCACAGTCCAGCTAGCCACGGCTTGCAATGTGTGTGGGTGGGTTCCTGCTTTTCCCTGCTTTTCCGTTTTTGTTTGTTTGTTTGTTCTCTTGAGCTTTCCCCAAATCCCAGATCTGTTCAAAAGATAGTGAAAGGCCAGGTACAGTTTGCTTGCTGACAAAGCAGAAGATTAGGCACCTGACTGCAAGTCTCCAAGACAGCCCTGGGAGCCTTTCTCCGAGTGTCCCTTCAAAGTTCCAGCTCCTGCAGGACTGCCTGTGACTCTCAACAAATGGAGAGAGAGGTAGCTGCAGGGGAAGCTCTGACAGGACCTTTCTAGGCACAACTGTATCAGTTTCGTACGGCTGCTTTAACAAGTTGCCAGAGATTTAGTGGCTTAAAACATCACAAATATATTATCCTAAGTTCCAGAGATAAAAATATCCAAAATGGATCTGTAGGGTCTTTTCTGGGAGGCTTCAGAAAAGAATCTATTTCCTTTCCCTTTCCAGCTTTCAAAAGCAGCCCATATCTTTTGACTCGCCCTCCACCATTGCAGCCAGCATCTACAAATCTCTTCCTCTCTGTTCTGCTCTGTCACCATACCACCTTCTGTCTGACTCTCACTCCTTCTCTCTTATAAGGACCCCTGGGTTTGCACTGAACCCTGTCAGATAATCTAGAATAATCTCCTGTCTCAAGAGCCTTACCTTGATCATATCTGCAAAGCCTATTTTGCTACATAAAGTAACACAGGTTCCAAGGCTTAAGATCCAGATATCTTTGGCGGGGCCCTTCAGCCTACCACAAGAAGTCTAAGCCAATCTTAGCTCCAAACTATAATAGCAAGATCATCTAGCACTGAGTGCTTACCATGTGGTTATAAATAGAAATAGTGACATAAATATAAATACATAGATATGAAGAGGTAATCTATATAGGTATATATCTATAAATTTAAATCCATAGATTACACACACACACACACACACACACACACCACATATTTTTTCACCATAGACTTGAAAATAATTCTATTTTATAAATGAGGAAACAAAAGCCTATGGAATTCAAAAAACAAAAATAAAACATTGTACAACTGTTAGTCAAAGCAGGTTTGGATGACTTCAAAGCAAATGCTCTTGACATCTTTGTCTCCCATTTCCGTTCCACGTTTTAGTGAGAAATCCAGACTATAAATGCTTGCATGTAACATCTCCAACCTAATTTCTTTCCTCCAAGGTAAGTCTGGAGAAGCCGCCATATGTGGAGTAGAAGAATGGGTTATTCTCAGCTGGCCACACTTGTAGAAGGCACACAGAATGATCCCCTTTCCCCAGTAAACAAACTTGTTTATTGCTTATCCGTAAAACCTTGCTTCTTTTTTTGCTTTGCTTTCCTCCATGTTCTCGCTTTTCCTCACTTTCCCCCATCTCATGGGGGGTGTGTTCCCAGGCAGAACCATTTACCGTCCTAAAAACTGTTCCTCATTTCAAAAATCCATTTCTTCATATGATCCATTGCAAATTATTTAAACATTGGAAAGGGAAGCCCAGACCAGAAATATTGCAGAAAAGGAAAAGAATCTGGGGACTAAAAAACATAAATACATCAAATCATAGCTTTAAAACAAACACTTAGAAATCAATATCCCATGAAACAAAAGCAAGCGAAGATTCACTTTAACAATGTTATCTGGATAGCACCCTTCTCTGTTTTCTTCAGCGGGTTTTATTTTTAAATATTTTAATGTGTGGATTAAATCAGAATAATTAAATTTTAGAAGACAGAATCCCTTTCAGAGAAAAGCCTTAAATGGCATTTGCTGTTGATTCTTGTTTGTGAGAATCTGTTCATCTCCATTTTAGTCAATATTGCCCTTTTAAGCCTCTCACTGAAGACAGCAATGAAATATGTTCCTGAGTTTTATAAGCCTCTGTCACTGCCAAATCATGTGCTTTGGGAATTCTGGGTCATAATGCATAGAATGTTTTTATTACTGCCTTCTCAACAAATGGCTTTTTGTATAACAAATGGCTCATAAGTATTTATTGATAAATATGGCCATAGTAAAGTCTGGATCATGAG